GGGATTGTTGTGAAGCTTTAAAGCAAAATTCTCTGTTGGCTTTAAAGTGTAGCTTTTGAGGTCATTAATTCCAACATCAAGATCGACAGCTGTCTCCAGAGAAAATTTAGCTCCAGTAACAGCCGACTCACTTATCCTGAAATCAATTTCACCCTTTTCAAATGTCGGCGCATTATCATTAACATCTGTTATTTGGACTGTGACGCTATAAAATTCCATCGGATTTTCCAAAATAATCTGAAACTGCAGAGCGCATGGCGTCGTCTTTTTACAGAGCGCCTCTCTGTCAATTTTCTCTTTAACAAGGAGGACCCCTGTCTCTCTGTGGAGCTGGAAATACTCGTCACTGTCTCGAGTAAAAATCCGCGCTTTTCCTGCAGTTAGACGTTTAATTTGCAGACCTAAATCATGAGCTAAGTTCCCGATCAAAGATCCTTTGGCCATTTCCTCCGGTACAGTGTAGGACACCTGCCCGTGTACAAAGCCGGGCAGGGAGAGGACGAATATGAACAGCGTTACTTGCCTCGTCATTGTTCTATCCGAGTGATATTCCATTGAGAAGCCCTGATGGTAATACTCTTGGCGATGATGTTGATTTAAATTCAGCTCAGAATCATTGTTTCAAAACCAGCAACAATCAAGCAGCAAAAATGATTCGAAAACGGCCTAAAAATCTCAAAAAGGCTTTAGCGATCCTTTCACGTCGTGTTCTTGCTTAATTATGTCGACGGTGCGGAGGAAAGGCTGCCACAAACCCTCTGTTTGTTAGACACTGTGGTCAACAGCGGCCCTAAGAGTTCAAATGAAAAAACTACAGATATAAAATGAAGGTACGACTGGCAAACATGAATAATAATAATAATAATAATAATAATAATAATAATAATAATAATATTAGTAATTCATAACTTATAATTATTATAATAATTATAAATTATTAAACAGACTATATTAAATTTAATTATTTCTACTTTAAAAGAAACAGGTGCAATTATAATAATTATTATTATAATAATGATAAATTATACATTATTATTATTATTATTATTATTATTATTATTATTATTATTATTATTGCAGCAGCAAAGCCTTAAAATTATCCAAACCTGTGCATTTCAAGTCGCAGAATGCTTTAAGTCATTAATACACCAATATCCTTAGAGAAAAGAGCAGGTTTTATAAAGAAAAGAAAAGAAAAAACTAAAAAGCAAATTTTTATTAATGGATTTGATCATTCAAAATGATGATAAACAAGTGTATGTGGGTTAATGAGGCATGTAATCAAGCCCCAATCATCGACAGGTAACGTACTGCAACTTTTTCATGCTGCTCTGCAACAACACACCAGAATGCAATTATTCGGTCTTAAACAAAACCGAAAAATGACCCGCATGCTTCCGTAGTAGTTGACCGGTATAATTTACGTGTGTAGAATCGGGAACACATCTAAATGTTGCAGGACACCAACCTCCGAAGATGGTTTCGCTGTCCATTGTGCTGAAATGACCTTGTCCACAATACTATTAGAAAATGCAGTCAAGCACGACCATGCATAGCCACGAACTAAGTAAAACAAAAGTTCAAACAAATTAAAAATAAAACACGACAACTTTTTCTTAAAGATTATGGGCTAAAAATATATATTAGTAAATAAGTATTTTTATCTGGATTTATGTGCTACAAAAAATAATCACATTTTTATCAAAACCCAAACAGCTTTATACATACCAGTGAAAAACAAAACTATGCAGTAAAATAGTAACTAGGCTTGAATGATGTAGTGCATAAGACCCTAAAGAGCTTCACACAAAATTCAGTCATGGGAAACAACAAATGCTCAACAGAAAATTAAAACAGACTGTATTAAATTTAAATATTTCTACTTTAAAAGAAACAGGTGCAATGAATTAAACAGCTAAGAAGTGTCCTACTTCTCTTACAAGCACACACGCTGTATCTGAGCTACATTTCAAAACAGGTAAACAGAATAGAAAGAGTTGCAGACATCTAACCTCTAGAGGAGAGTCGGGTTCATCCAGTATGCTCTTCTCGTTTTGTATCCGCTGCATAGTCCCTGTAGTACTGGGATCCATTAGCAACACGTTCTGACTACCACCTCCGCCAAACTTACAGTCACTCTTTCTGGAGTCAGTCGTCCTGCACACCTCGTAATTGTACACATGTGGCAGAGTTCCTGATCCCAAAGTGTCTGAGTAACGAGGTGGATAATATGGAATCACAGGGAGGCTGGAGTGATACAGGATGCGAGACTGTCTCCATCTGTAGATCTTCACTGATATAATAACCACTAAACACGTGATGAAGAGGAAGGAAACCACAGCCAGAGCCAACACTAAGTAAAAAGTCAGGTTGTCATTGTATTCCTTATCGTGAGGAAAGTCAGTGAACTCCGACAAGACTTCAGGAAGCTGTCCGCCACCGCCACGTTAACAATGACTGTAGCTGAACGAGAGGGCTGCCCGTTGTCCTCCACTATGACAGTCAGTCTTTGTTTCACAGCATCTTTATCAGTCACCTGACGGATAGTTCTTATTTCTCCATTCTGTAAGCCCACTTCAAACAGCGCTCTGTCTGTGGCTTTCTGTAGTTTATAGGAGAGCCAGGCATTCTGTCCAGAGTCCACATCCACAGCCACCACTTTAGTCACCAGGTAGCCCACATCTGCTGAACGAGGAACCATTTCAGCCACCATGGAGCCACCAGTCTGGACTGGATACAGAACCTGAGGTGGATTATCATTCTGGTCCTGGATCAGGATTTTTACGGTCACGTTGCTGCTGAGCGGAGGAGAGCCTCCATCCTGCGCTTTAACGCAGAACTTGAAATCTTTTATCTGCTCGTAATCAAAAGATCTCACTGCATGGATGACTCCACTGTCTGCACTGATGGACACATATGAGGACACTGGCACTCCGTTAACAGAGGAGTCCTCTAGAATGTAAGAAACACGGGCATTCTGGTTCCAGTCATCGTCTGTAGCTTTTACTGTAAATATAGACACACCTGGTGTGTTGTTTTCTACAATGTAGGCCTCATAAGAACTCCTCTCAAATGCAGGTGCGTTGTCATTTACATCAGAGATCTTTAAAGTGAGAGTAACGCTGCTGGAGAGGGAAGGTACTCCTTCATCAGAGCAGGTCACTGTGATGTTATACTCCGCTGCTGTTTCTCTGTCTAATTCACTGTCTGTTACTAAACTATAGAAATCATTCGCTGATGACTTTAAATTGAAAGGCGTATCTTCATTTACAAAGCATTTTACTTTTCCATTTTGCCCAGAGTCTTTGTCCTCAATGCTTATCACTGTTACGACTGTATTTAGTTTCACGTCCTCTGAAATAAGTGTAGACTTTGACATTATCTGTATTTGCGGGTTGTTATCATTTGTGTCTTGTATATCGACAAATAATTTGCATGAATCTGTGAGACCGCCTTCATCACTAGCAAGTAAATGTATCTCATAACTTCTTGACTCTTCAAAATCCGTATTTCCAATTAAAATCACTTCACCGCTCTCCAGGTTTACTTCAAATATATTTTTGACATCATCGAAGGTGTTTGTAATTGTGTATGTTATCTTACTGTTAGAGCCCTCGTCTGCGTCTGAAGCTCTAACCTTTGCAACAACTGTTCCCTTTGCTGAATTTTCAGTAACAGTAGCTTTGTATATTTGTTGTGTGAAAACCGGAGCATTATCATTAGCATCGAGCACTGTAATAAAAATCTGCATCGTTCCTGACATCTGCATCTCTCCTCCGTCTACAGCCGTTAACACCAGATTAATCTGTTCCTGTTTTTCTCTGTCTAATGGTTTCTGTAACACCATCTCCACATTTTTATTCCCTTCGGGGTTATTGTGAAGTTTTAACTCAAAATTATCTGTTGGTTTTAAAGTGTAGCTTTTGAGGTCATTAATTCCCACATCAAGATCAACCGCTCTTTCCAAAACAAATTTAGCTCCGATCACTGCCGACTCCCTAATCTTGAATTTCTTCTCTCGTTTCTCAAAAGATGGCGCGTTGTCGTTAATATCCGTGATCTGAATAGTAACGCTATAAAATTCAATTGGGTTTTCCAAAATGATCTGAAAATGCAAAGAGCAGGGCGTCGTCTTTTTGCAAAGAGTTTCTCTGTCGATTTTCTCCTTCACAACGATGGCTCCCGTTTCTCTGTTTAGCTCCACGTACTCGTCACTGTCTCGGGTGAAGATTCGCGCTTTGCCTGATGTCAGCCGTTTGATTTGCAATCCTAAATCCTGAGCTACGTTTCCTATTAGAGATCCTTTAGCCATTTCCTCCGGAATAGAGTAAGAAACTTGCCCGAACGCAAAGCCGAGGGAGATGATAAAAATAGTCACCGTTACTCGCCTCATCATTGTTCCATCCGTGATTTGTTCCACTGTTAAAATCGAGTATTTTGTCTCAGGTCCAACCGCAGCTAATCTCTCAAACCAAGCACAATCCACACAAAAGCACCGAGGTCGTCAGGCTGATATTTCTTTCCCCATTAAAAAAAAAAAAAAAAATCCGCTGCGGTCCTTTCCCGTCGTGCTCCTTCTTCATTATGTGAACGATAGAAAGGAGGTCCTGCTTGCTACAGTCTGCTGTTCAATACACACTATGGTCAACAGCGGCCCTGTGAGTTCAAAACGAAAAACTGCAGATTAAATTAAGATATATATGTAAAAAAATAAATAAATAAAAATTAAATACGTAAAAAAATATATCAAATAATAATAATAATCACCATCATATATGCTTTAACAAAAAATACGCACAAAGAGGGTCTTTTGAATTGTTATTGCTGTAACCCGACAAAAGTTTTTTTTAAAGATTTACTTTATAACAGATAAACAACTAAGCTCACAACTCTATTAGTTTGAATGAATTATGAAATGCATTATTGTATCTGATAGTCAATCTAGGTTTTTTTGACTTCACGGGAAAGCACCATCAAAAGTTTATAAAGAATGCTGTAGAAAACGCCGCTGTCCTTTGTCCTGAAACTGAGAAAATGCCTTCATATCCAATCCGTTTTCTCGGGTTGATTGTATTCAGATGCATTGAGTTTGAAATCAAAGATGTTTTTGCATCAACATAAAGCAAGACTGACGTTTGCAGAACAAGCCGTAGCTATTCACATTGACAGGTAAGCCCATGTCTTGCTAAAATTTACCGTATGCTATACCCAAGTAAAAAAAAAAAAATAATAAAAAAGATAAGGGTTCCACAAAAACTAACAAAATAGAAACTTGATGTTGACTAACATGGAATTAATGACGAAAAGAAGCAAGAAAAAAAAACGAAAATGAGGACATTTGCATTTGACTTAGAAACGTATTTAGGAATGTACTATGATACAAATAAATAACACATAATGATTCACTTTTTACTCCTTTTCAACTAATTGTTAAATCAAGATTTTTTTTGTTTTGACATCAAAGAAGAATAATTAATTTAAAAAGGTAAATGGTTTCTGTTAATCTACATAAATGTTAATGTGTGAAAGACGGCGCATAGCGTAAAGAGTTTTGACAAAACAAAGTGCTATATAAGAACAAGGCATTTATAATTTAAATATGTGAAAGTGATATAAAACATGAGAGGGACCAAATAAATCAAAGCACTCTGACCTCTAGAGGAGAGTCGGGTTCATCCAGGATGCTCTTCTCATTCTGTATCCGCTGCATTGTCCCTGTAGAACCTGTGTCCATTATCAACAGGTTCTGATTGACAGCTCTTCCGAACTTACAGTCACTCTTTCTGGAGTCAGTAGTTCTGCACACCTCGTAATTGTACACGTGTGGCAGAGTTCCTGTTCCCAAAGTGTCTGAGTAACGAGGTGGATAATATGGAATCACAGGGAGGCTGGAGTGATACAGGATGCGAGACTGTCTCCATCTGTAGATCTTCACTGATATAATAACCACTAAACACGTGATGAAGAGGAAGGAAACCACAACCAGAGCCAACACTAAGTAAAAAGTCAGGTTGTCATTGTATTCCTTATCGTGAGGAAAGTCAGTGAACTCCGACAAGACTTCAGGGAAGCTGTCCGCCACCGCCACGTTAACATGACTGTAGCTGAACGAGAGGGCTGCCCGTTGTCCTCCACTATGACAGTCAGTCTTTGTTTCACAGCATCTTTATCAGTCACCTGACGGATAGTTCTTATTTCTCCATTCTGTAAGCCCACTTCAAACAGCGCTCTGTCTGTGGCTTTCTGTAGTTTATAGGAGAGCCAGGCATTCTGTCCAGAGTCCACATCCACAGCCACCACTTTAGTCACCAGGTAGCCCACATCTGCTGAACGAGGCACCATTTCAGCCACCATGGAGCCACCAGTCTGGACTGGATACAGAACCTGGGGTGGATTATCGTTCTGGTCCTGGATCAGGATTTTTATAGTGACGTTGCTGCTGAGTGGAGGAGAGCCTCCATCCTGCGCTTTAACGCAGAACTGAAAATCTTTGATCTGCTCGTAGTCAAAAGAGCGAACTGCATGGATGACTCCACTATCAGCACTGACAGATATGTATGAGGAGACTGGCACTCCATTAACAGAGGATTCCTCCAGTATATAGGAAACACGCGCATTCTGGTTCCAATCAGTGTCTGTGGCTTTTATTGTGAATATAGACACACCTGGTGTGTTGTTTTCTACAATGTAGGCCTCATAAGAGCTCTGCTCAAATACAGGTGCGTTGTCATTTACATCAGAGATATCCAAGGTCAGAGTGATGCCGCTGGAAAGGGAGGGTGCACCTTTATCTGAGCAGGTCACTGTGATATTGTAACTAGAGGCTATCTCTCTGTCTAACTCACTGTCTGTCACTAAACTATAAAATTTCTTTGATGTTGCTTTTATCAAAAACGGCATGTTTTCCCCAATGCTACACTCAACATTCCCGTTTTCCCCAGAGTCAGCATCTTGTACATTAATTATTGTCACCACTGTACCTGGTTTGGAATTTTCCGTAACCGATTTCGTTTTAGACATAACATTTATAGATGGTTCATTATCGTTTGTATCGGTAACTTCGACAATAATCTTACATGAATCTGTCAGGCCCCCGTCATCACCAGCTTTTACGTGTATTTCATAGCGCTGTGTCTTTTCGTAATCTAAGTTTCCGATTAAAGAGACAACGCCGCTTCCTTCCGCTACTTGGAATAAATTTGGCACATCATCTAAGGTGTTTGTTATCGAATAAACCACTTTTCCATTTGAACCTTCATCTGCATCTATTGCACGAACCGTACTCAAAATAGTGCCTCTTGGAGCAGTTTCCATAACAGTAGCTTTATAGACTTCTTGCGTAAAAACTGGAGCGTTGTCATTAGCGTCTAGCACTGAAATTTCCACACGCATTGTTCCTGACAGCTGAGGCTCCCCGCCATCGCTGGCAGTAAGAGTTAATGCGATGTGATCCTGCGCCTCTCTATCCAGTTGCTTTTGCAAAACCATCTCCACCTTTTTGCTGCCGTCTTGTTGGCTGTTGAGCTTTAAAATGAAATTATCCGTCGGTTTAAGTGAGTAACTCTGCAGCCCGTTCACTCCCACATCTAGATCCATCGCTCTCTCTAATACAAATTTTGCCCCAATCACAGCCGACTCGCTGATCCTAAATTTCATCTCTTCCTTCTTAAAGGTGGGCACATTGTCGTTTATGTCATTGATTTCGACATTAACGGAGTAAAATTCAATCGGGTCTTCGAGCGTAATTTGCAGATGTAAAGCACAAGGCGTCGTCTGTCCGCACAGCGTCTCTCTGTCGATTCTTTCTTTGACTACCAGGAGTCCTCTGTCTGTGTTCAGCTCGATGTATTCTGCTTTATCTTCTGTATATATTCTAGCTCTACCGGATTTCAGTCTCTTCACGTCCAGCCCTAAATCGTGAGCTATGTTACCAACAAGGGAGCCTTTTGACATTTCCTCTGGAATAGAGTATGTGGCCTGCCCTGCTACACAGTCGAGCGAAAAAATCACGACAAACAACAGTACTTGCCATTTCATTGTTCTGTCCAACATGGTATCCTCGTTAAATCCTCAAAAAATATATTGTTTCCTAATTCCATAAACGTCAGGTTTTCCCAAATAGAAGATAGTCCAGCAGACGATGTTATATATTTTGTAATATTTTCCGTTCCCAAATGTATGCAGAAAATGCAGCGAGACGATTGCTGTCCCTGTTGTTGAACGGTTGTGGGCTATGTGAATAAATCTTTCTCTGTTTAGGGCATCAAAACGAGGAAAGAAATCTCTGCATGAGCCAACAGCGGCGCTGAGAGTACAAACTCATGCACTGCAGACAACCAGACTTTGGAGGACCAGACCGGGTATGAAACTACAATTCAACCTTTAAATTATTACGCTGAAAACACGACATGCAGTTAATAATACCAGGGATCATAGTAATAAAAGGGCGTTTCATCAAGTCCAACTGTTGAAAAGCTTAAATTCATATTTCACCATATCATCTTCTTGGAACTATAAATAATAATAATAATAATAATAATAATAATAATAATAATAATAATAATAATAATAATAATAATAATAATAATAACAATAATAATAATAATAATAATAACAATAATAATAATAATAATAATAATAATAATAATAATAATAATAATAATAATAATAATAATAATAATAATAATAATAATAATAATCTGTTTACCATTCAGCAGTTCATATAAGGGCTTGAGGTACATTAAACACATTATAGAAAAATAATACCTCACACAAAATTAATTAAAAAGAAAATGAGATATTGAGGCAGTTGATACAGTTAAGAATTTATCTTGTATATAAATTAGAAATAGTGAAAACGTACAATTACTTGGTTCATTCTGTCAATTTTTAGATAGTTTACAAACATTATTCTATCCTTCAGCCACAGCAAGGTAATACAAGCTGTTTTTGCAGGTTGAAATAACTAAACTATTTAAGAATAAATAGTCCAAAATAGGTGTGGATATACACACCAAATTGATCTTTTGGTAAATAGATTATTCTTTAAAAAGAACATCTGCACTAAGAAAAAAAAAAAATAGGAGAAAAATATTTTAGAGATTGCCTTAAAAATGAAAGGTGTAAAACAGATCACATGGCTACTTTTTCAGCTGTGAAATATAGATTCCAAGCACATGCAACTGAAAATGAACTGAACAGAGTTTTTAAAGTAAGGACTTGTAGAAGCATGTGTTAACTTGACAAAAAAAATGAAAACAATTTTTTTGATAGGTTGTAGATTTCTCAGAACTGTCTCCCTTTTATTGATGCTTATAATTTCATTAACATCTTTAGAGACTTATCAATGAGAAACTAAGACTAGTTATTCTTATGCAAATCTCTCTCTCTCTCTCTATATATATATATATATATATATATATTATATATATATATATATATTTTTTTTTTTTTTATTTTTTTTTTTTTTCACTAAAAAGAAAGATTTGTGCAGTGTGCAGTGGTCAGCACTCATCAAGAAGTGGTCTGTATGCATAAAGTTAATCTGTTCTTCTGTATGTGTGGAGATTTCCTGGGTTTACCCAGTGTGTTGGGGTGTACCATGACTGTTGCCTAATGATCACTGGACATAAGAAACCCCATAACTTTGCATGCACAGGAAATAGATGGATAACAGATTAAGATTTTAAAACAAAGGAACATTTGTCTCAAATGTCCCAGGTAGGGCAGTTAGCTACACTTGAGTTAGAATACTTACAAAAATAATTTTTAGTATAACTATGTTAAAAGTTCAAGCTAAATTGTGGTTGTATAAATAGTCCTATTTAGCACTAAGTTTTAGGCTAAATAAGAGATTATGAACAAGTTTTCTAGAACAAAGAAGAAATTAAAGATGCTGATAAGATACGATGTTCCAAAAAGAAGTCACCATATAATAGGACATGCTTAATGGTCATAAAGTATGTATTTAAGCATAAAATGGGACAAAAAGACATACAATTCAAGCATATGCCTTGGTTACAAATCTGAATATTTTTAACAAATTGACAAATATAAAAAGATATCAAGACAGCATGTTGAGCTCCCAGAAATGATTAGACAACATATTGTTAGGCCTTGGCCAGTTTTATATCAATGAGGTGGATTATCATTCAAGTTTGTCATCCCTATATTTTATATCTATATTTACCAACTTACTAAAGCTTATTTTTTCAAACAATCGTGGTGTGAATGTCACTTAGAGCTTTAGCCTTAAAAACAATTTTTAAATAATGAAAAGGAAATATTAAATAATGCATTAGCAAGTACAACATTCTTATGAAAATTAAGGTATAAACACATTGTAGACGATACTGATCATTAAAATTACTACAAAGATTTACAGAATAAAAATGTTTAGGTAATAGTTTACCCAACCAAAACAAATCCAAAATTGCACTTAAGATGAAAACAGCATTACACTGCTCAAAACTATTAAAGTTAATGGGGGTTGGAGGGAGGAGGAGTATGTTACGGTTACAAAAAAAATGTACTTTGATGGAAACTATGAATGAAAATGGTTTTAAAACTATAACATGCAAATGCCAACAGGATTTTGATAATGACATTTCCAAGAAATGTAATAATGCTCTAACCTCCACAGGAGAGTCAGGTTCATCCAGGATGATCTTCTCATTCTGTATCCGCTGCATCGTCCCTGCAGTACTGGAGTCCATTATCAACAAGTTCTGACTACCAGCTCCGCCAAACTTACAGTCACTTTTTCTGGAATCAGTCGTTCTGCACACCTCGTAATTGTACACATGTGGCAGAGTTCCTGTTCCCAAAGTGTCTGAGTAACGAGGTGGATAATATGGAATCACAGGGAGGCTGGAGTGATACAGGATGCGAGACTGTCTCCATCTGTAGATCTTCACTGATATAATAACCACTAAACACGTGATGAAGAGGAAGGAAACCACAGCCAGAGCCAACACTAAGTAAAAAGTCAGGTTGTCATTGTATTCCTTATCGTGAGGAAAGTCAGTGAACTCCGACAAGACTTCAGGGAAGCTGTCCGCCACCGCCACGTTAACAATGACTGTAGCTGAACGAGAGGGCTCCCGTTGTCCTCCACTATGACAGTCAGTCTTTGTTTCACAGCATCTTTATCAGTCACCTGACGGATAGTTCTTATTTCTCCATTCTGTAAGCCCACTTCAAACAGCGCTCTGTCTGTGGCTTTCTGTAGTTTATAGGAGAGCCAGGCATTCTGTCCAGAGTCCACATCCACAGCCACCACTTTAGTCACCAGGTAGCCCACATCTGCTGAACGAGGAACCATTTCAGCCACCATGGAGCCACCAGTCTGGACTGGATACAGAACCTGAGGTGGATTATCATTCTGGTCCTGGATCAGGATTTTCACAGTAACATTGCTGCTGAGTGGAGGAGAGCCTCCATCCTGCGCTTTAACGCAGAACTTGAAATCTTTGATCTGCTCGTAGTCAAAAGAGCGAACTGCATGGATGACTCCACTATCAGCACTGACAGATACATATGAGGAGACTGGGACTCCGTTCACAGAAGTATCCTCCAGGATGTATGAAACACGAGCATTTTGGTTCCAGTCAGCATCTGTAGCTTTTACTGTAAATATGGAGACACCTGGTGTGTTGTTTTCTACAATGTAGGCCTCATATGAGCCCCTCTCAAAGACAGGTGCGTTGTCATTTACATCAGAGATCTTTAAAGTGAGAGTGATGCTGCTGGAGAGGGAGGGGATTCCTCCATCAGAGCAGGTCACTGTGATATTGTACTCAGAGTTTGTCTCTCTGTCTAATTCACTATCTGTTACCAGGGTATAAAAGTCATTTGATGAAGTTTTAATAGCAAATGGTATATTGTCATTTATTCTGCAATTCACTCGACCATTGTGACTTGAATCTGGGTCAGTGACGCTAAACATTACTATGACAGTACTATAAGAAGAGTCTTCCGGAATGAAGTCAGATTTTGACATGACACTTATTACTGGATCATTGTCATTTACGTCAATAACATCTACAATGATTTTACTCGAGTCAGAGAGACCGCCGCTGTCTGTAGCTACAATATCAATTTGGTAATTTTTCGCTCTTTCAAAGTCAATCTCGCCCACTAAAATGACGTCACCATTTTCTTTTATTTGAAAAATATCAGACAAACTGTCAATAGAAGTCGATAATGCGTACGAAATTTTTCCGTTGACTCCCTTGTCTGCATCAGAAGCACTGACTGTCGTCAGTGTGCTTCCTTTCTCAGAATTTTCTGCTATAGTTGCTTTGTAAACCGACTGTGTAAAAACAGGAGGATTGTCATTTGCATCGAGAACAGTCACATAAATTTTCACTGTCCCAGACATTTGGGGTTCTCCCCCGTCTACAGCTTTTAGCAATAACGCAATCTCTTCCTCTTTCTCTCTGTCTAAAGGCTTATGTAAAATCATCTCGACCTTTTTATTTCCATCCGCCTCATTTTCTACCTTCAATACAAAATTATCTGTAGGTTTTAAGCTGTAATTTTTCACACCATTTCGGCCGATATCAAAATCAACTGCTTTTTCTAAGACAAATTTGGAGCCCGTAACCGCAGATTCGCTGATTTCAAAACGCATCTCGTCGTTTTTAAAGCTGGGACTGTTGTCGTTGATGTCAGTAATCTCGACTGTTATCCGGAAAAGCTCCATGGGTTTTTCTAAAATGATCTGCAAGTGTAAAGCACAAGGCGTCGTCTGTCTGCAGAGCAACTCTCTGTCGATTTTTTCTTTCACCAGAAGGACTCCTCTTTCCCTGCTCAGCTCGATGTATTCTGCACTCTCGCCCGCAAAGATGCGAGCTTTACCCGATTGTAATCTTTCCACATCCAAACCCAAATCTATCGCTATGTTTCCCACCACAGATCCCTTTGGCATTTCTTCAGGGACAGAGTAGCTGATCTGACCCAGAGCTGAGCAGACGCAGCAAAGCAAGATGGAAAACAGTACTTGCCGTTCCATTGTTCTGTCCGATGTTTTGCACTCCGGTTCAAAAAACAGAGATTATGCCTCAATTTTCACAAAGAAATAGAAATAATAGAACGTGGAAGAAACGATAAAATAACACCCATTCAAATCCAGATGATAGGAAGAACAAGAACGAGTTAAAACAGCCAACAAACGATCTGTGAGTTTGGCGAAGCAGCTCTCTTCTCTCGATTTCCTCTCTAACGCACTGACATGGCACGGGAGGTTTGCTTTAAATCATTTCAACAACTGCAACAAGTTGACCAACAGCGGCCCACAGAGTTGACAAAGAAACACTACAAGAGTATAAATATAAAATGACTTCTGTAAAGATATCACAAAACCGAGATAAAAAAAAACAAAACAAAAACAAAAAACAACAACAACAAAAAACAACAACACATAATTCAAAATGAATAACGGGTAACACAATTCACCAAAAGGAACCAACACTGCATGATTACT